GACATAGGGAAGACCAGAGCCCAAGTGCCCGAGAGGGATCCCGAGCGCAGATCCCCAAGGGGCACCCGCACGGGAAGATCTGCACACACCCGAACCCAGGAGGTAGACCCAATCATTCTGAGGTGGAGAGGAGCAGATGGCCAAGGCCTGGCCCGGGCCGCACCAGGACACATTTAAATTCTAAACCACAATCATGTTATTATGCATCATAATGCCTTAAAATTTATCTCTGCCACTTCTAAGACCCTCCTACCATTTTTGACACTCCCACTTCAGCTCGTCTTCACAACAGCATGTAAAGAAACAAGTTTTTACTGTCAGCCAAGAACAAAGCAGGAGACAAATTTAGATTTAAGACTTGAACTTTTACTGGCAGATAAATTTGATCACCACCTATCAGCTGGACAGAATACAGGTTTTTTATTAGTCTCAGAAAATTTGGTGACAAACAAAAAATACAGTCCATATTTCAGACTGAGCCACTCASTGACTCAACACATTGTACAACAGTTTACAGTCTGATGAGAAAAACTGTGTCTGTCTGCTGTTTAGTGAAAAGGTGTGTGTCAATCTGTCTCTTAAAGTGCAATCTGTTTGAGATGACCCGTGAAAACGGGTCATCTCAGAGTGCACATCAGTTAATCCCAATTAATCTCAGTGCACAAAGATGCAGTGGGTAATTTTACATTTAGATGATCAAAAATAGTCTAGATATCTCAATAAAAACAAGTATATGTAGKACAAAAAAGAATTAGTGAAATCAGAACAATTTTTTTTCCTTTAAATGCTTTGAGGGAGGGGTGCTTTGTGAGGTGGGAGGAGCATTGTGCAAATAGGTGGTGCTTTGTACCAACAAGTGTTTGTGCAGCTCCACGTGGCTGCAGGAGATTCAAACATTTCTCAAACATGCATGAATGAGCCAAAGTAACAGTCTGGGTATGTTATTGGTGAGAGAATAACATAACATGATACAAAGCTCAAAAAAGTCTGTTTTGAATATTACCCCCCCCCCCCCTTAAAATTTTAATTTAGAATTTTAAGAAATATCAAATATCCTTTCTTTGCTATTTTTGAATGGTAAACTTGGCGTGTGTAGCACAAAAKATGTTTAAGTTCATTTGATCTACAGTTTATCTTTTTTAGTAATACTGTAAATAATCAAAGTAACTAAAAGATTGTTTCTGTTCTGTTCAGTCTGAACACAYAGTTCTTCTACACTTTCAAAAACAGAACAACTTACTGAAACTTTTTCATTTCTTTTTAACACATTGCTCGATATGACCTGACCCAAATTTTTACCACAAATTACAGAAATGCTCCATCTTGCTGGTACATCAGAGGTGTTAGATTCATTTTCCATATTTCAAGTTCCATTTTCAGTTCAACTTTTCTTCATTATTTCAGGTTTTTTAGGACCGTTGGACTTCATTCCCATTTTTCTTTTCTTCTTTTTTTTCTTAAACGGTTTCCTTAGAAAGCAGTTTGAGTTATTGCCTCTATAAGCTAACTTTATGGTTTATCATTCATGTTACCGAATTGTATTTTCTGTAACAAAGGAGTTACTTATCACTGTGATTAGATTATATGCCCCGACATTTATCAGAGCTTCTTAATCTCACAGTGTGCTGGGGAAGCTGTTTTAATTTTCTCAGTCWTACAATCATAAACTGAGATAATGGGATTGTGTAACCCTTTTATTTATCACTCTTAGATTTCAAAGTGGCTTTTTTCACCTTTAACCTTTTAGTCACCTTTTATTAATTAACAACAGGGATTTGTTTTATCAGAACTTCTAAACTAAATATRAAAAAATGCCATTAACTACTGCTGAAAATGGTGTTTACCATTCTGCAAATGTGTCTCATTTGTGAGACTTTTCAGTCAGCATGATGAATAATAATCATGTTTATTAGCTCAAATAATTTTTCACTTAATTAAAAATTGGCTCACACTAAGACTTGTTTCTTTCCTGATTTAGAAAGTAGAATGAATTAGTTTTGTTTCTTTTTTTAAGACAGTCATTGTGTTGCAGATTAAAGGGAAATGAGAACTTATGTAAGATATTTAAAATGTGTTGTGTTGTATGTTTTTAACACATAMAATCAACTCTCAAAAAAGTGACACATGACCATTTTTAAGCATAAATTACCTCCCTGAGCTCACAAACTGCTTATCTTGACTCTTCTATCAGCCTCACCGCTGACAGGCTTTCATCACAAACTGGAGACAGATTTCATGTTGCACCAGTTCTCATCCGCCTCAGGTAGCTGTCATTCAAGCATWAGGTTGACTTTAAAATGTTTTACAAAGAATCGATTGTGTGCAGCTCATGCTTTACCTCCCATTGAGAATGCGCCCCTTATTCGGTGAATTAAGTTTGCATTTTGATGAGTAAGATTTTGACATTTTTGGTCCAAAAAGAAAACTTCAGGTAGTTCAGATTTAAATAGGAAGTAAGAATTCTGTTCAGTGCTGGTTTCACAGCTGCAGGTGAAGAGCCATGTTCATTGTTCAGCTCAGATGGCAATTTGTTTTCTTTCAGCTCAGGTGTTAGGCAGTGGAGTAGAATAGTGTAAACCTTTAAACATCTGTTTCTCTGCTGACTAAAACACTACTTTCTTAAGATTTACTGGCTAAAACCTCTTTTTTTTTTTTGCTTTAGCTTAAAGTGCCTGTGATGTCAAATTTTTGTAATACATATGAATGCATTTTTAGAAAGAGGACACTAATAAAATATTGAAAAATAAATTGAGGTGAACAGTTGTTGAGATATTTGCCTGTGAAGTAACAGGAAGTGATGTCAAAGGGGAATGTCTGCATGTGAACAGAGTGTTGTTACAACAGCCAACAACCCAGACTGTAGAGAGGAATCTGATGTTCCTTAAAATTATTTTTGAGTCACTATCAGAGAGAGAGATGAAAAAGAGTCAGAGCTCAAATAATATTGTTTCAATAAACAATGACCAAAGGTTTTCTTTGTTGAAGAGTTCCCCTTTGATGTCACTTCCTGTTTCACTTTGGCTGAGCCAAGTTCAAAAGAAAATATGCCA